CTTCCCAAGAATGAAAAAAAAAAAAAAAGCATAAATTATGGGGAGATTCTACATTCCGTTAACGAACCATTCCGTCGGAATTTGTAACCGTTAAATCAACTATCCACGACGGTTACATGATGATCTAACGGTTACAAATTCTGACGGAATGATTCCGTAACGGGACTGTAGCATTTGCGAGATTGGTATATTTTGTGGAAACTAATGTTTATTTTTTCAGTGTGTAAACCCACCATTCAAATGGAGAAACAGCTGCACAGTTGACAAAAATGTATTGCCCACTTTTGTATTTGAACCCTTGTGGCTTTGACATGTGCAGAGCCAATACATTTCCTGGGTAGACAGCCACCTTCAAGTGCAAAATTGGACACCCATTACTACATATCATTACTATTCATCATTTGTTTTTAATTATCATTTCATATATATGCAAGATCTTTTTCAGTCCATTCTGTCGGAGTTTGTAACCGTTAGATCATCATGTAACCGTCAAGATAATTGATCTAATGGTTATAAACCCCGACGGAATGGTTCCGTAACGGGACCTTAGCATTTCCGTATGTTACCTTTAAGATCTTAACAGCCTTGATGCTAGACCTGAATGCCCTGATCAATCTTTCCCCAGCATAGAGTATGATAGGAACAGTCAGATACATCCATGTCTGAATTAATTTACATATAACAAATATCATATTAAAAGTCACTCTCATTCAAGAACCAAAAAAGGAATGAAAAAAAAAATAAAAATAAAAAATTTACATACCGTTTTCTTGTACCATTCATGGGTCAAGTAAAGCTTGATGCCATGAATAATGAGGAGTGCGTAGACGATAACGAATAGGTGATGCGAGTACCAGAAGGCATTGAACCCCGTGAGCTTGTTGAATGGTCTCGGCAGGTCGACTCGATTCCTCCTGAACCATGGCGTTGCAAGCGTGAAGGCTATGGCCATTAGAAGCACGATTACAACTCCGGTTATCCCTTCCCAGCTCTTCACGAAATGCCAATAGCTCGTCGCTTGCTTCCCGAAAAATTGCTCCATAGGCTCGTATTCTTTCGGTGTGGCCGCTAGCAGCCGCGGAAAATCACACGTTAAATGAGCAATCGCGTGTATCCCTACTCCTAATGCAACCGCTATGGCAATTACTTTGTGAAAATTAAGGTTGTCATCAAACGGGACAGCGACTCCGAGTTTCGTCCTGTTCCTGAGCCAGGTTATGGTGTTGCGGCACACGGGCAGCAAAATCAAGGCCATGTTGAGTTTGAGAGTCTCGGCGGCCCCTTTGGCCATGCACACACAATGGCCCATCACTTTAAAAACAGCTCTATTCTTGTACTGTATGTACTTGTAAGTGAAGAGGCCTGCCATTATCCCGATCCACAGCGCCATCACCCACAGCCTCTGCCAGTTGTCGAGCACAAAGTAGTGCAAGTCTCTGTACTTCCTCCTTATGAAGGTGTCTTGTGTCGGCTTAAGCTTCTCGCTTAGCATCTTGCTTAGGTTACGGCTATCGGCACCGCCTCTCACCGACTGACTCGGCCCTTGCAGGAGCAACATCTCCAAGTTCTCGATCTAATATATTAAAGTATAAGTTATCAAATATTTATAAAATTCACTTTGTGTGTGTGCGCGTTGATTCGAATTTGTATCGATCGAGTTGCATACCATAATGTATCCGAGTTCGTTGGGGTCTAATTCCTCCATGATCAGTCTCGCGTATTCATCGGCTTGTTTCTGGATGTTCGACAGCTTGTTTGCAGAGGCACTCAAGGTAATAATCTGAAATTGATTAATTGTTATTTTTCAAAGATCAGTGTCTTTGCATGGAAATTGATTGTCTTTGTCCTTCTCTACTAATTACGCGTACACAGATTACTTAAAGTCAGCTGAAATATATATATATAGATAGATTGTTCTACACAGACGAAGTCAAGGTTCACATACAAAACAAAGCAACATAAAATTAAAATACAAAGAAATAAAAAAAAAATAAAAAATAAAAAATTCCATACCTCCCTCACTTCTTCTTCTGTAATTCTACCATCAGCATCTTTATCGACCCTGAATTTTAGAACAAAACAAATTGATTTAATTTATTAGTGTCATGCAATTGAAATTTGGTCTGATTATGATAATAAATTAATTAAAGAAATTCCTTTGGTTTTTTTTTTTTAAATAAAAAATCTTTATGCTTACATGTCGAAGAAAGTTTGAAGGCGAGAATCAAAACTCTGATCCGAAACCTGGTCCCAAAACTCCTTGAGTTGTGCTTTGGTAATCGAACCTCTGACGATGTTCCTCCGTCGAGCCAGGGCGTCGAAAAGCTCGCCGGCAAACTCCTTCGACTCCTTATTCATACCTGAAAATTAATTGAACACGAATCCAATTTCATAATTAAAAGGAAAAATGAAGGAATAAGCATGAAATGGGCTTTGTAATCTACCAATGCATTGTCCGAAAAGGGAGCGTGGGAGCAAGCCGTCCAAGTTAGCCGTAAGTTCGTCGAACCTCTTTTCCACCCCAGCCCAGGCGGCTCCTCCGTCAGTCTTGCTGATGAACTTGAGGCCCTTGAGGGCGTGGGCAGCCGCGGACTTGTTCCGGTCAAAGACACCTGCTGAGTGGGGTCGGCGCGTGGTGGAGGCCAGCCTCTTGAGCTCCTGCGACACCTGGCGAATCCTGGACGAGGCGTTTCGCACGAGGATGGACCCGAGGGACGTCCTTTTCTCCAGGCCCTTGGCCAGCAAAGCCAGCTCCGGATCCTCTACCTCCCCGCCGCCCGCGGCCTTCACGCTGTGCACTGCGACCGAGTCATCCCGCACGTCAAGGGTGATCTCCACGTAGTCCTCGCCGCCGTGTGCGGGGGCGCCTGAGCCACCGGGGTTGGCAGAGGATGCCTCCGGGACGCTGAACCGTGCGCTCTTCCGGGCCGGCCGCTTGCTGAGCGGGCCGCTGTTCGACGCTGCTGCCGCCCTTTCTCCGCCGCTGCCGCCGAAGACGTCGGCGTCGGAGCTGTTGGGGCGTTGCTGTTGACTGCTTTCCGGGTTCTGCATTTTGATCGCCCAATGCAGACACTGTTTGTGCGTTGTATTTACTGTTTACAGTATTTAATCTTAATTCTTACAGAAAAATATGGTAATAAAATAAAGTAGATAATTAGGAAGAAACAAAATTCTAAGCTGCCATATTGCAGCTTATAATAAAAGCTGCAAGAATTCAGGATGAACGAAATGATCAGAAGGTGGAGCTGTAACTAACTCTCTCTCTCTCTCTCTCTGTGTGTTTTTCAGACTTTTTTTTTTTCAATATATTATTCTTTGTTCTATTGTCAGTGTTTGGTTGGGCTAATTTGTCTTACCATTAATAAGTCTTTTGATTGAGGGACAAATGAAGCTTATAATATATAGACATTTTGATTTTGGTCCTAAGGGGTGAAAGGGGAAAGTTTGACCAGGTTGTTTGATTGTTTTTATCATGCGCATGATATGAATATGAGTTGTATTTGTATTGTATGTATGGAGATGCTACGGTTTCGTTACGGAATCATTCCGTCGCAGTTTGTAGTTGTTGGATCAACATGTAACCCTTGACGACTGATCCCTAAGAGCATCTCCAATGTGACTTTTGACATTATAAAAATTCATTCATATCATCAGCTTTTGAAAGTTTGTTACTAATTTGTTCTTCAATGCATCTTGTCATGAACTCTTTCATGATGAGGTGGATAACATTTAATGTTGACAATGTTGAGCACACTTTCTAATATCTAACACCATGTTAAACATGATGACTAATTAATTCACTTGATATTTTATTTAATTTTTTATTTTTCTTGTATTAATGATTATTTTAATTGGTCCACTTATACAAATAACTTATTATCAAATTGATGCATGGGAGATACTAATTTGATTCAAATTTCTACTCTTTTAACATTATTCCTAGTTGGATTAACATTACAATCATTGATTGATATGTGTTAAAAATTATAGTCTCTCAAAGGTGTAGCATTGGAGATGCTCAATCCTCTGATCAGTACAGTCCCGTTATAAAATCATTCCGTCGGAGTTTGTAACCGTTAGATCAACATGTAACCGTCAGTGATAGTTGATCCAACAGCTACAAACTCCGACGGAATAGTTTCATAACGGGATTGTAGCATTTCTCTGTACTTATACACACATACTTGTCCACTTTTTTTATGTTTCTTTTTTTCTTTTTGGTGATGTGTCTGCATTAAATAAATTATTATGTTATAAGAATTTAATTTGATTTGACTTCAAATTCTGGTATATATCAAAGAGATCAGTGGATGGGTGGGTAGCTTAATAGTATTGTACGAATTTTTCACTGACTCATATACACAAATTCGGTATTATATATCTTGCCTAATAATTACATGGTCATATATAATTCTCGACTCATATACACAAATTCGGTATTATATATCTTGCCTAATAATTACATGTCATATTTTAATATTATTATTTATTTATTTTTATCAAAGATGCATAGGAAAGAAAAAAAAAAGATGCATACTTGTATAGTTGTATTACTAATAAAGTACACGTGCTATGTACATGGTGATGAGTGTGTCCGGTCGATTAAGTGTACTAAGATAATTAATTAACTTATTGAACATATAAATAAATACGCAAACGAAATAAAATGTAAAATAAATTAAATGAGCTCATAATATATTTTTTTTTTTAATAATATAATGAAGCCTTAACATAAAAAGAATACAGAGATATAATCAATCCTCTCGCCCCTTTCTTCCCTCTCGATTTCTCTCGCTCGTCGTCTGCTCATCGCCGGTTTGAGCCTCTTTTAGCGGTCGTCCGGGTTCGCCGGGGGACGGCTCTCCCGCTGCGCATTCTAATCCGGTCAGCGGCACTCATGTTCTATGTCTCCAGCCAAAGGGGCGGGCTAGGGTTTCGACAGATTCTCTGTTCTGTGCGATGGTCGCCAACGTCCTGCGGTTTGGGGTTCGGTAGGTGCGTCGTCAGTCCTTGGATGCGGCTTGGTTGCTCGTTTCAACTCAAGTAGGGGCGATTCTTTCTTGACGGGCCTTGAGGTCCATCCTGTCTCGATCTCCCTGTTACCGTCGGGGTTGTCTCTCGTTTTGGCTTGGGGGGTGGTTGGGGCAGGGTGCGACCTTGTGCGTTGGGTTGGGAGATTGTCGCTTGTTGGGGTGTGTTGAAGCGGCTGGGCCTTGAGGCTATTTGAAACCTTCCTCCTGTTTGCTCTTTATGATCATGAGAGAGGCCGACCGTGTCCAAAATTGGCTAGTGGTGATAGGCAGTTTCTGGATGGTGACGGATTTCACTAGTGGTGTTAGCCGATTGGGGGTCGATTGTGGTTTCTTACGGTTGGAGAGCAGGTGGGTTTTTTTGGATTGTTTTGTGGGCTTGGGTCTTCGTCTTTGCTAGGTATTAGGCAGTGGCGGGCGGAGTTCCTGTGCAGCGGATCATTTCTCGAAGTCGGCTTTGTCTGTTGTCCAATCAAGGACGTCTCTGCTGAAGGAGGATTGTGTTTTAGTTCGTAGTTGTTTTGGACTAAGTTTGTGTTCGTTTCGGTCGTTTCTTTGTGTTGTCTTGTCTGTGGTTGTCTCGGATCAGTGTTTTTTTTGGGGTCGTTGGACCCTGTGAGCCCAAGTGTCAATATTTTATCCTGTTGGGATCAAACGCTTGGGTATTATCTTGGTGTGATCTTTTTTAGTAGTTTCTATTTTGTTTGTGTAGTTGTAGTGTAGTTGCGAGTGTTGTTATTCTAGCTTTGCTAGTGTCGGGATTCTAGGCGGTCTTCTGACCTGTCCTCCCACTTTTTCAGCTGTTGACGACTGAAGAAAAAAAATAAAGAGAAAAAATGCAAGCATAATGATCCTAGGTAATTTAACACGAGCTTTCTACATTAAATCATCACATTTTGAGCAAAGTCGAGACCTTTATACTAGATAAACACGTATTGATTTCTAACACACGAAGCAAGCGATGAAAATATAGCAAAAACCTCAAAACGAGCATAAACACACAATTCGAAAGACAAACTCGAAGTAGAAGGCCTAAAAAGGGTACCTACTCTCCTAACGCATGCTTGGACGAAAACAATGATTAAAGCTCGAAACTTGGATAAGAATAAAATTATCGGTATTTTGCAAGAAAAAGATAGTCATAAACCTCCAAACCAAAGCACAAAAAATAAAAGAGAGAAAATAGAGAGGATTTTCCAATTTAAAAGTTGGGAAAAGATGGGGGTTGTTTTTAAATTACAAATCATTATGTCTATTTATAGCTACACCACAAACACACACTAAAAACGCACACATTTAATGAGAAAAACTCGCAAGTGATGTGGATTTCGCGAGCAAAAGCTAGATTTTTGCGGGCTGGAGGGAGCTCGCAAGTGTGGCTTGGGCTGGGGGCACAACTCGCGGCCTAAGAGGTCCTTTCGCGGGTGCGGGGCGCGTGCTCGCGAGCAGGCGGGACTTGCTGGTGCGAGAGTGGATACGCGGGCAGACGGAACTCGCTGGCATCAGGGACTCGCCGGCTGGTAGCAGTTCGCGGGCGCGAAGCTGAAACTCGCGGGCCTGGCAGTGCACCTGGGTACTTGCGGGCACTGGACTACGTCGTGGGCGCGGAGTTGAACTCGTGGGCGCGAGTCCTAGGCGCTGAAATTGTCGTGGCTTGGTTTCGATGACCACTTAAGGCTCGATTCGCTCTAGTTTTCTCGCACGCTTCTCCGATTGACTTAAAATTGTGACCCACGCTTCTCAATTCTTTTTCTCCTCGTCATGGAATACACAAATAGATACCATTATGCAGTTAACAAATATGCTCGGAACGGCTCGAAAACGGTTTGTGTAGTTCGGACGGTTCAAAAATGCCTCGGACATGGCTTGTCTTCCCAAACTCGAATATTATGGACCTAAAGAACACCAAAAATAAAACAAAATACGCTGAACCACAAAAACACAAAACGAGAGCAAAAATACACGAAACACGATAAAATGGACCGAACAACATTAAAATGAGCCTAAAAAGACTAAATGATGCAGCAAGAAGCAAATGATGGGAAGATCATAGAGATCAAACGAAGAACACAAGAAGAACAATTATTTTCTTTCAATCTGAATATTCAACTGCCAGATAATGAAGCTGCACATACGTTTTTAATAATAATACAAATTCCGAACCACCTAGATTTAAAAGCCCAACACAACAAGCCCAATACAACATTAATAATAATAATAATAATAATAATAATAATAATAATAATAATAATAATAATAATAATAATAATCACACTAAAGCTCGGAGCCGATCATATTTATCAA